TATATATATTGTCTTTTTGAGACAGGGTCTCCTTGTAGTTCCAGCTGACTGAACTCACTATGTAGACCAGGCTGGCCTTGAACTCACAACAATCTGCCTGCCTCTGCCTCCCAAGTGCTGGTATTAAAGGCGTGTGCCACCATGCCTGGCTATTTATTTTTATTTTATGTGTATGAATGTTTTTCCTACATGTATGTAAGTGCAGCTATCCATGAAATGCTCGCAGAGGCCAGAAGAGGGTGATGGATTCCCTGGAACTGGAGTTATTGACAGTTGTTATCCGTGTGGGTGCTGGGAACCAAACTCCGATCTTCAGCAAGTGCAGCCAGTGCTCTTAAGTACTGAGCCATTTCTCCAACCCTAAAACTACTGATTTTTGTAAGCTGATTCTTTAATCATGCTGCTCTGCTGGAAGTGCTTATCATTTCTAAGCATAGTTTTTTATTTTATTATTATTTCTTAGTGGAGTCCTTAAGGTCTTTTAAGAATAGAATTATGTCTTTAAACAAGGGTAATTTGAACTTCCTTTCCTATTTGTAAACCTTTATTTCTTTCTCCTGCCTTGTTTCTGTAGCTAAGACTTCAAGCACTATACTGAAGGAGAGTGGGGAGAGTAGAAATTTAGGAAATGCTTTCAGTTTTCCCCCATTTGATATGGTGCTAGCTGTAGAAATGTTATATATAGTCACATTCTCCCAGAACTCACAACTGGATTTGAGCTGGCGTGAGCAGTGGGTTCCTGTAGGTTACACTCCTGGTCTCTTTGTACCAGGGCCACTTGGCTTATCTTTTTTGTTGAGGCTCCTGTTTCCCCTCCCCACCCACCAAGGGCCATGTGCTGTACTCCTCTTTTTGCTGAGTCCTCCTTCTTTTTCTCTGCACTTTTTAGCTGCCCTATCATTTCCTTTATGATTCCTGTAGCTCTTCCACCTCTATCTTTGGAATAGTGTCTGTCCTTTGTTATCCTGACTGTTCATTCAGTCTGTCACAAACACAGCTTCTAATCTACCATGTTATCTGAAAGACACTAAAAAATTGCAAAAACAAGTAGCTGGGGCCTGGGGATGTAGCTCAGTTGGTAGCATGCTTGCCCA